TGTGGAACAGACCATCAACTGCTCATGTGCAAGTTCAAGTTGAAGCTGAAGACTATTAAAATAAGTCTGCGAGAGCCAACAAATGACCTTGATTACATCCCACTTAAGTTTAGAAACCATTTGAAGAATGGAGTTGACACATTGAACACCAATAACCAAAAGCAAGATGAATTGTGGGATGGCATCAAGAACATCTCCATGAAGAAAGCAAAAAGTCACTGTAAAGATAGGAAAGGAAGAAAAGACCAAAACAGATATCCGAAGAGACTCAGAAACTTGCTCTTGAATGGAGAGTAGCTAAAGCAAATGGAAGAAAAGGATCTGAACAGACAATTTCAAAGAGCAGCTCAAGAAGACAGGGTCTATTATTATAATGAAATTTGCAAAGACCTGGAGTTAGGAAAATAAAAGGGAAGAACACACTCGGCATTTCTCAAGCTGAAAGAGTTGAAGAAAATATTCAGTCCTCATGTTGCAGTATTGAAAGATATTATGGGCAAAATATTGAATGATACAGGAAACATCCAAAGAAGATGGAAGGAGTGCACAGAGTCACTGTACCAAAAGAATTGGTCAATGCTCGTATATTTCAGGAGGTGGCATATGATCAAGAACGGGTGGCATTGAAGGGAATGGTCAAAGCTGCACTGAAGGAGTTGGCGAAAAGCACGGCTCTAGGAACTGATGGAATACCCATTGAGATGTTTCTAAATATGGATGCCACACTGAAGGCACTCACTCATCTGTGTCAAGAAATTTGGAAGACAGCTACCTGGCCAACTGAATGGAAGATGTCCATATTTGTACCCATTCCAAAGAAAGGTGATCCAACAGAAAGCGGAAATTATCAAACAATATCATTAATATCACACACAAGTAAAATTTTGCTGAAGATAATTCAAAAACTGTTGCTGAAGTATATTGATAGGGAACTTCCAGAAATTGAAGCTGAACTCACAAGAGGATGTGGAATAAAGGCAACTTTGCTGACACCAGATGACTCTTGGCTGAAAGCAAAGAATACAGAAAGATCTTTACTTGGGTTTTATTGACTACACAAAAGGATTCGACTGTGTGGATAATAACAAATTATGGATGACATTGAGAAGGATGCGAATTCCAGAACAATGAATTGTGCTCATGAGGATCTTGTATATAGACGAGGAGGCTGTTGTTTGGACAGAACAAAGGGATACTGCATGGTTTAAAATCGGAAATGGAGTGTGTCAGGATCATATCCTTTCACCATACTCATTCAGTTGATGTGTTTAGCACATAATCCCAGAAGCGGGACTCTATGAGGAAGAATGTGACATCAGAGTTGGAGGAAGACTCATTAACAACCTGTGCTGTGCAGATGTCACAACCTTGCTTGCTTGAAATTAAGATGACTTGAAGCATTTACTAATGAAGATTAAAGACTAGAGTCTGCATTATGGATTGCACCTCAAAGAGAACAAAAATCCTCACAACTGGTTCTACTATATATATTTTTACAGCGCATACAAATATATATGTAGTAATCTCACTTGCCAAACTTACATATGATTGTGGGCACATTCCTTTTCCCCTTCCATACCTGAGTGTCTGCCTGTCCATCTGCGTATCCACCTGTGAATAGCTTCCTTCCATAGGGTTTTCTTGGCTGATTTTGCAGAAACAGATCAACAGGCTTTTCCTCTGAGGCGCCTCTGATGGACTCGGACCACTGACTTTTCCATTAATAGCTGAATGCTTAACCATCTGTGCAACTCATGGGCCTCATAACAGGAGGGATGGGAGAAAATGAATGACAAGGGAGTGACATAAAAAATACAAAAGAGCAAACCAGGAAGAAATGCTTCGGGAGAAAGGTGAGAAAGGGGAGAAGACAGAGGAAAAGAAAAGGGGTTAATAAAAGTGCTTGTGGCTGAGACAGAGAGAGACCTGACACAGATCACGAGGAAGCAGAAAGGGATTTGGGGAAGGGAGGAACCCAAAGGCAAAGGAGGCGAAATGAAGGGAAGAAAGCAAACTGAGGAATAGAGAGAGAGAGAGAGAGAGAGAGAATGAACAGAGGAGCAGAGAGGGGAGTAATGAAGGAAGAAGGAGGTGGGAACAGAGAGAGGGCAGAGGAAGGGAAAAATCAATGGTGCCACATGGTTTCAGACTCTTGGCAACCCCATGTATTACAGAGTAGACATGCTCCACGCCGATCTCCTGGCTATCATTGTTACCAAAATGGCGGCCAGGCCTCTCTTCTGTGGACCTGTTGGATTGGTTTCCACTACAAATATTTAGGTTAGTAGTCAAGTGCAAGCTGTTGGAACCAACCAAAGACAATACCATGTTATGGAAATTAAGAGATTAATTAATGTGTTCAATTGGCATATCGTGGTATGCTATTTTTCTACATCTTACTTCAGTCAGTAGTAACTTGGGTCTGAAAAACTTGTAAGCATCCATCTCAAATGCAACTGTTGATCTCTCCTCATCCAGAGCAGAGTGAAGAAAATCAAAGATGCATGGAAACTGTTAGTGCAGAGGACTAATGGTCCATGAGAACCCCAGCCTATATGACCGTATATAGGTTTGCCAGATGGTAGTTGTATATACGTATTTGTATGTGCTGTATAAAATGTCCGTATATGTAATAGAGCTAACAGGAGGCAAAGTTATGATAACTTATTAACCACAACTAAACACCTTAAGGGAGTGAGTCGTTGGCCCACCAGCTGAGGACCATGGTCACAGGGAATATCAAGATCAGTTGGGATAACACAGTGCACATGGAAGAGACCTTCCAGAAATGCAGGTGGATTCAGAAGAGGATGTGGAATGAGGAATGTCGTTGCTAATGTCAGAAGGATCTTGGCTGGAACAAAGAATACCAGAAAGATGTTTACTTTTGTGTTTTATTGACTGTGCAAAAGCCTTCAATTATGTGGATCATAGCAAATTATAGTGGACCATGGGAATCTCAGCCTTCATAACCCTGATATGAGAACTAGATGGTGTCTGACTACCACTGCCAACCACTCAGAAAGGAATCAAAATTGGAGAGCTTAGATAGAGTGGGAGAAAAATGTGGAACAAAACTCAAAATCATTAAAACAAAGGACTAGAATTACTGGTCTGATAGAGACTGGTGAAACTCCCAAGACTATGACCCCACATCACCCTTTGGAGCTGGAATTGAATTCACTCCTGTGGCTTAACTCTCAGCCAAACAATAGACAGGTCTACAAGCTGAAACCCTACACCAGGGAGATGCACTCCTCAGAACAATCAGCCACAGGAGTTCAGAAGGGCAACATTTGCACAAGGTGAAAGGGAGGGAGGCAGGAATGCATAGGCCAAATGGACACAGGGAAAGTGTAACCACGGAGGAAGTGGGAGGAGAATTGGGAATATAACCAGAGTCACAAAACAAAACATGTATGAATTGTGGAATGTAAAACGAATCTAATTTGTAAAATTCTACCAAAATCACAGTAAAAATCACAGTAAAAGTTTTTTTAATTCCTAATTTTTATTTTTTCCTTACAAAAATTATATACATCTATACAATGAACAATTCCTGTTCCCAGTGTCTGGAATTTGGAATCAAATACATAAAACAAAATGTAATGCAAAATGAATTAAATATATATATATAACTTTAACTGTAGCCAGTAGCAATATCTTTATTGGATTTAATACGTACACTATAATAGAATACATTTAAATCTATAAAACTGAAAAATGTTCAAAATTAGGCAAAGAATATGAGCCAACCATTGACTGTAGAACAAATCCGAATAGTCAATAAGCATTTTAGTATGCCTTGCTTGTTTTTTATACAAAGGAAATAAAAAAATAAACAATAGTGACAGGATAATTTCACTAATCAAAATGAAACTATAAACACTCCTTAATACTAAATGCTATTAAAACTATGTGTGTATGAGTCCTCCCTGGACTTGTGGTGGGAGTGTTTAGAGAAACAAACTGTTTTCCAGAATTAAGGAGGGGAGGATAAAGGTCTTAGGCTAGGTTCTCTACAAAGCACACCCAGTGAAAATTATGTATCCATGTATATTGCCATATATACATGGGAGTGATCTCAGGGAAATGGTACTTGGTTATAGAGGCTGGCAAGTACCATGGGTCACACATCAGGCTGGAGGATTCTCCTGACTGAGGGAACTGCAGGGGTGGACACATCCAAGACAAGCGGGTCAGATGGTAGGCTGCTGGTTCAAGTCCCAGGCACTGGAGGTCAGATGATGACAAGCTGGATACAGGATCCAGAGCTAGCAAAAAAGCCAGCCAGCTTGGCTAGATCATCCATATTTGATGGCTGCTGGCCACACCCTCAAGGCAGTTCCCTTCAATTGACTGACTGCTCCTAGCAGATCTCATCATGGAGGACACAAAATGGGGAGGACTGAGTTACATTACTGCCAGATCACATCATTGCCAAACCACTGAGAAGCATGATCCAGCCAAGTTGACACACCACCTTAACCGTCATAATATGAACATATAGTAACCCTGTTGCACTGTGCAGTATTCAGTCACATATGGATTACAGCCTAATATTTGTGCTGATTCTAAACAAATGCATGTCTGCAATAAAATTACCACAAACAGGCATAGGACAAATTCCATCCTAAGAAGACGAAAGCAAAACTGTTGTTAATATTGCTGTTTAACGAAAGACTTCAAGCCTTGATACATGACTACCTTGCCTAAGTGGCGAGTCTGCAAAACTCCCAAACATATAAGAGAATATATAGAAGCACTGGGTATTGGAGATGAAACTGAAAAGTCCCATCAAATGTTTACACGTATCTGTAGTGGCCCCTGCAGATCCTCTGGCAGAATCTCCGAAGGACCAGGTGTCTGTCCCGCCTGCTGCCTCCAAGGGCTGCATCTTCAGATGAACAGGGTCCCAGGCGTCTCTGCTCAAGCTCAGTTCATCCACTGCTGGCTCCAGCTGGTCCCCATCCTGGGAAGGACTGGATCCTGCGTGTCTCCTAGGAGGAGTCCCCCGACTGTTCTCTGTTGGGAGCTGGATGCCAGGAGCCTGGTAGTGGGGCTGGCAGCATCCAGCCCTCAGCAGGGAAGACGTAGGCTGCCTGGGTGGCCATGGTGTAGAAGGTCTGGGCAGCCTTGTAGAGTGAGCCCCTGAGCAGGCTGAGCCCGGCGAGCTGCTCCCAGGTCAGGGGGGCCTGCGTCTGCTGGGCTCGCACCTGGGCCACATCCTGGTAGATGGCCTCGGACAGATTCCGCAGGGAGGTGACCAGGCTTCTCCGAAGGGGTGCTGGCTGGGCTTCCGGGGACCATTCTCGGGGTCGCTTGCCTGGCATGGGGCATGTCCTGCAGCGTCGTCTGTGGCGGGCACACTGGGTCTCCTTGCCTGCATTGGGACCCCTGCCTTCCTTCTTCTGGGAAGTCACCAGAGACCTGTCTGTGGAGGAAGAACGTTGGTGAGAGACCGGTTGGAACAGACCCCAAGAACCCCACATTCCCAGCGCCTCCCCCCGTCTCTTCTGATGCTTCTCCCTGCTGCCTGGATCCTGGGACCTCCAGACCTCATCCCTCCGCAGGCTTCGAGAACCCTGCCTGAGCCCTCCAGGCAGAAAGAAGGCGCCCATCAGGATGATCGGGCCAGCTGTCCCTGGAGCTGATTCTCCAGCATGAGCTCTGGTGGCGCAGCGGGTCAAACGTGTCTGCTAACCAAAAGGTCGGTGGCTGGAACCTACCAGCCACCAAGACAGAGACCAGGCCATCTGCTCCCATAAGGATGCACAGCCTTGGAAATCCAACAGGGAAGTTCTCCTTTGTCCTATGGGGTCGAAGGTAGTGGGGGTTTTTTTTTTTATTATTATTTTTAAATTTTAGTTCTCTCCATCTGGCCTGCCCTCTGAGTCGTAGACAGATGGAGAATTTTGGTCACCCCTGTTACCTGGAGATAGTACAAACCCTACCCCTTCCTGCACACACAGGAGCCCCGATTGCAAGCAAACCACGTACAGCCTGGGGTCAGTAAAGTCCTTCTGCTGAATTCTGGGATGCAACCCCTCCCCCCACCCCCAAGGAGACAGGTTTACCCAGTTCTCTGGGTCTCCTCACTGCACAGGAATAAAATCTCACCTGATTTGGTGCGGGGACTGTTTCTGCCTTTGAGCTCTGTTTCCTGGGAATTCTCCTCCTCGTGTGGCTTGGGCTCTGACCCTGGAGAAGAGGAAGGAGTTGTGGTTACGGGTCTCCATGGAGGCACACAGCCCCCTAGTCAAACCCTGCCATGTTTGTGGGTCATTATTTAACTGATGCCTTCAGCCAGTGCCCTGGGTGAACCGGGGGTTGTGGGTCCAGTTTCTTAAAGTCCCCTGAAGACTCTAAGCCTTTTTCTATCCCCTTCCACCAACAGGAGCCCCTGGGTGGGACAAGAGCTAAGGGCTTTTCTGGTGACCAACAGGCTGCCAGGTCAAGCCCACCTAGAAGCCGCTCTGAAGAAGGCCTGGCAGTCTCATTGCCAAAGGTCACAACATTTAAAGCCCTGTGGACATCAGTGTCATTCAGCACATGTCAGAGTCACTGGGTATTAGAACAAATCCAGTCAATGACAGTGGATTTGCTTTAAGTCCCCCAAATAAAACTCAGCTAACGACCCGATATCCCACTTCTCCCTCCAACCTCCTCACAAACAGCCCAAGTCCCCACCTTGCACCTGGTTGTCTCCTGCACTTGACTGGGAAGAGAGATTCTTGCCTTTTCCTTCAAACTGTTTCTCCTCCACATCTGAGCCCCCTTCTTCAAAGGAGTTGAGTTGTGAGTGGGGTTTGTCAGCAGGGAGCTGGGCGGAAGGGGTGAGAGAGGCTGGGTCTTGGGTTTCCATTCCCTTCTTGAGGCTCCAAGGAAAGCTGCTGGCTCTTCGAAGTCCAGAGTCACAGTGAACGCTTGGTGGACGCGTGCACCTGCCTTTTATGGGCCTCAGGTGGGCGTGGCTCCCTCCTATTGGCTGAGACGATTCCTCCCTCCTGCACCCTCCTCAGAGCTTCAGCTAGGCTGAGCGTCAGAACGTTGCAATGCGTCACCAAGGCAAGTCCTGGTCCAGGCCAACAGAGGAAAGCGTTGGTTGTTGGCGCGGTTGTGGAGAAGCAGGCTTCCTGCATTGCTGGTGGGAGTGTGGAATGGCCCAGCCCCTGTGGGAAGGTGGCCAACCAGAATGGAGAATGTAAATGCCAAGTAAATATTTCAGCAAGGCTTGGGCGGGCAGCAGATGATTGGATCACATGTGAGTGCCTCGTAGAGTAGGTTAGCATGGGGGCGTTACTGTCCTGGAGTCTGACCGGAAGCGGAAATGGCCTTTAGGCTCATCATTCCGGAAACCACATGGGCCAAGTGGAATTCCTGCGGCCCCCCATGAGCTTCTAAGGACAGGTAAAGAGATAAGTGTTTACAATATGGCGGCTTGCTTTATCCCTCAGAGTAATGGTAGACTGTTAGGTTATCATCTATGGTGGGGTAATTCTGGGTGTTGAAGGAAGGATTACTGCTTCCTAAGGATTTCACAGGAAGAGTTGATGCCCTTGAATTGTGGTGTTGTGGAGAATACTGAAAATACCATGGACTGCCAGAAGGACAACATATCTCTCCAGGAAGAAGTGTGGCCGAAATGCTGAGTAGAGGCGAGAATTCCCAGACTTCGTCGCCCCTCCTTTAGTCATGTCCTCACAGGGAACCATTGCCTAGAGAAAGATACCATGCTTGGCAAGATGATGGGTCAGCCAAGAAGGGAAGCCCCCTCACCACCATGGGTGGACACAGGCTACAACGCCGGGCTCCAGCACAGCAGGGATTGAGGATGGCGCGTGACCAGGCATTGTTTGTTCTGTCTACACAGGGTCACTATGAGCTGGAGCCGACTTGGTGGCACCTCACAACAACAACAGTATTTCTTGAGCAAGGTCCTAATTCATTAACTTCTCCTTTGTTTAGGGGGCATTGGGTTTATGTTAATGGTGGTGGAATTGGTTGGAAAACGGTATCAAGAATGAGTGCACAGCTTTGGGAGTGTAACACCGACACTGACTTGTACGTGTAGAAATCACGTTGGCATAGGTTTCATTCTTACACTTTTACCACAGTAAAAATATTTTGGAAATTGTTATTCAACATCTCCAAGGGGTTCTCCCTCATGACCCTGTTCTGTGTGGGGTGATAGGTGAGCAGTTAAATGCCTACTGCCTTTGATTGGTGGGTTTTATGACTGTGAGGGATTCATCCATCCTTTATTTGAACATACTCATTGAACATGCCTCCGTAGCTGGGTAAGATGCAGGGTGCCAAGTATAAAGTGCAGTCCTTGCGTGGCACGAACAGTTCCCTGACCAGCTACTGACCACCAGGTTGGTGGTTTGAACGCTCCCAGGGCCATCTCAGCAGAAAGGCCGGGTGGTCTGCTTCCCGAAGGTGCCAGCTATTACACCTCTCTGATACACATGGGGGTGCCATCCGTTGGAAAGGATTAGAGGACAACTAGTTAAGGGTAAAGCAGTAAATAAAAATGGCATCAGCTACAAAGCTCCCAGTCTAATGGTGAGGCAAGAATTTTTACCTGGGCACCCAGATAGAAGCCTTTCTCATCCTCCATTGCAGACAATTGTGACTTCAGCGATAGGTTTTGGACAAAGAGATACAAGCAGGAATCAGTTGTGTAAGGCCCTGATGTGACTGCAGACCATTGGCTAAGCTTGTCAGAGTGTTTCCATTTTGTTACCCAGTGTGGCCTGGCAGCCCTGCAGAATTTCCACTGCCCCTTTAACTTGACACGAACATCTGCAGAACAATGTGGTTTTGCCCAGCTGTTGTCCTGATGTCACCTTTGTGGTTTGAAATAGCTAATGTTAAGAGAAAGGAGCTCTGGTGGTGTAGTGGTTAAGGCATTGGGCTGCTAACCAAAAGGTTGGTGGTTCGAACCCACCAGCTGACCCGTGAAAGGAAGACAAGGTGGTCTGCTTCTGTAAAGACTTACAGCCTTGGAAACCCAGTGGGTTCTCTATGAATTAGAATTGACTGGATGGTAATGGGTTTGGTTTTTAGTTAACGTTAAAAGAAGAATTATTCAGCGTGTACAGGTGTTAGACACAGTGTTAACATTGTGACTTCAGTGGTTAAGTTATACTCTTGTTGTGTTGTTATGTGCTGTCCAGTCGGCCCCGACTCATAGTGACCCCTCCTTGGGTTTTTGAGGTGGTATCACTACGGAAGTAGATTGCCCAACCTTCCTTCCAAGGAGTGGCTGGTGCGTTTGAACTGCCGGCCTTCTGGTTAGCAGTCAAGTGCCTTAGGCACTATGCTACCAGATAGCAATAGTAAATGAAATGTTATGGAATTCTTATGTAAATACTTATATAATGGTCTTTTATTAGTGGATTTAGTGGAGATTTTCGGAATCCAGTCCATAATAAAACAGTCTGTTCTAAAACAATGCTGAGCATATATGACTTCAGTGTGTAACATTTCATCTGCGATATTAAATTTTCTTGAGATTTAATGGAGAATAGGATTGTAAGGACATTCCATGGAAAGGGAATAGCATGTGGGATGGTTTTTCAAAAAGCTGGGTGTGGGGGCAGTGGTCAGCATTGTAATGCAAGTGTCCTGGGGTGAAACTAGAGGAAAAATTAGGTTTTCCTTTTTTGCAGGTCTTTGAGGCCAGCCAAGCCACAGCAAAACCATTGTCCCTGAGTGAATTTAGGCCAGTATAGGAAAGCGCAGAACTGTCCTGAGTCATATAAGACGGAACAGAACAGCCCAAGAGGGTCTCCACGGCTATAAGTTTTATGGAAGCACATTGCCTCATCTTTATCCCACGGAGTGGCGCATGGGTTTGAACTGTAGACCTCTTCTTTAGCAGCCCGATGCTTTAAGCACAGTGCCACCAGACCTCCTATTTGAGGCCACGTTATGAATACTGTACCTTCCATCCTAAGAAAAATGGTGATTGTTATGGACTGAATTGTGTCCCTGGAAAATATGTGTCCACTTGGCCAGGCCATGATTTTCTGTGGGATGTAATTGTGCTGCGTGTTGGGGTCTGATATAATGACCCTACTTTCTGTGCTGTGATGTAAGTATTTTCTGTCCTGTGAATCCTAACCTCTGTTAGGATGCTAATGAGGTGGGCTTAGAGACCTTAATGTTAATGAAGCAGACACAATCTCTAGAATTCACTTGCACTGCAGGTTCAGCTCTTTGAAAAACAAAAGAGATTAAACAAGGGAGCAGGCATGCAGGGACGTCCCCCGCTACCCCAGGAAAGAAGGGTGGGGAGCTGAGCAGGCCCTTTGAACCCAGGATCCCTGTTGTGAGAACCTGCCAAACTCCAACCAAGCCCGCTGGCATTGACTGGGTTCTGACTCATGGTGACCTCCGTTGGGCTCCCAAGGTGGTGTATTTTTGGGAAGTAGATTGCCTTATTCCCCTTTTCCAGAGCAGCTTTTGGGTTTGAACCACCACCCTTCTCATTAGAAACCAAATGACTTGGGCATTGTGCCAGATTGCTCCCTGAGAACCTCCTAGACCCAGGAAGGAATGATGTCAAGGGACATGGATAATTCCAAGGAATGGCAACCAACAGGCGCTGAAAGGAAACAGGTTGTTGTTGTTGTTGTTGTTGTTATGTGCTGTTGAGTCGGGTCCCCAAAGCTGACAGAGAAAGAATCCCCCTTCATTAGGCGCCCTGACTTCTCAGGTGTCGCCTCCTCACCTGTAAGAGAATATGTTTCTCTTTGTGCCATGCACTTGCGCTGTTTCTGTGATAGCTTCACTGGGTAAATAAGACACCTTTAATCTCTTTGGTCTGTGCCCTTTCCTCCGATCTCACACATTCTTTCAATTCCCCTTAACCATAGTTTTCTTGTCTGTGATTTCTGTTACCTGCGGTCAACCAGCAGTCCCAAAATAACAATCCGTTTTCATTTTTGGGCCAGGCTTTCCTGAGTAGCATGGTGACATCCTGCACCATCCTTCACTGACCTGCCGGGCATGTGAATCACCCCTTTACGCTCCCCACCCGTCAGTAACTCAGAAGCTGTCTGGGTTATCAGATGAATTGTCACGTGTGGCAGTGCTTGTGTTCATTTCTCTTATTTCACCAGTTCTGATCAAAGTACCGAGAACCTAACAGAAAGATCAGCCTTAACGTTCCCAAAGAAGACCAAACCCACTGCCGTCGAGTTGGATCCAACTCATAGCGATCCCTCCTTGGGTTTCCAAGGTGGTATCACTACGGAAGTAGATTGCCCCATCTTCCTTCCGAGGAGTAGCTGGTGGGTTTGAAACACCAGCCTTGTGGTTAGCAGTCAAGTGCCTTAGGCCCTACACCACCAGAGCTCTCTCAGTAAAAGTATAGGTGTTTATGATTTGTATGAATTGTGCTGTAAGTCCTGACCCATATAAAACCTGGGCTTTTAATCCCCTTTGGGAATGGGTTTTCTGCATTATGTTTAAGAAGCTGTATTAGTGTAATGTGTCTTTTCAGTCAATTTCTTTTGAAATGTAAAGGCGTCGCCTCCTCATCTGTAAGAGAGTATGTTTCTCTTTGCACCATGCACTTGCGCTGTTTAAACGATTAAACAACCAAGCCGGCAGAAATGGAGGGAACATACGAGCTCCAGTCTGCTGACGGGGCCTCGTGAGTCTCTGAGTCCATAGACTCTTGCTCACTGTCTTGCTTTTTTATTTATTTTTTTAATCTGACTGTGATTTGGGTGCAAATTTACAGAGCAAATTTGTTTTGCATTCAACAGTTCCTGCACGTTGGATTCCACGCCTCGATTACCATCCCCCACCACAGCAAACTCTCACCCCTCCCGTCCCTGTGACTCCCCCCTCCCTGTGCCCTTCTTGATTACGCCCTCTGTCTGTCCAGTTGTCCCTCGGTGTGAATGCTGCCCCTCTGGTGCCCCAACGCTGAGTCCTCTCAGGGGTGCATCTCCCTAGAGTAGGTGTGTGCATCGCCCTGAGGTAGGTGTTCCACATGGAGGTCTTTCGACTGTTGGGCTGAGAGCCAATCCATGGGAGTGAGTCCATTTCTTGGCCTGAAGGGTAACCCGGGGCCATACTCTCAGTGGTGCCACCAGACTCTATCTGACCAGTAATTGTGGTCATTTTTGTGTTTTTGAATTTTGTTCCACATTTTTCCTCCCACTCTATTCAGGATCTCCAGTTTTGATCCCTTCCTGAGCGGTTGGGATTGATAGCTGGGCACCATCTAGTTCTTCTGGTCTCAGGGTCATGAAGGCTGAGGTCCTCCTGGTCCATCTTATGCTTGGACTAATTGTTTCCAGATGCCTTTGATTGTCTTCACTCTTCTTTGATTCAGATGAGAGGAGACCACTAGTTGCATCTTAGATGGCTGCTCAAAAGCTTTTAGGAACCCAGTGACTACTCACCAAAGTCAGTTGTAGAACGAAATTTTTATGTGCTATGTTGTGCCAATTGAGCATCATGTCCCCTGAGACTACAGTCCTGAGTCAGCAAGCCAGGACTCTCTCTCTCGAGGTACTTGTCTCTTAGAAGTTACTCCAACTCTGCTGTCTGTTGCTTCTGTAACGTATGTGGCTAATTTTGTAGCACAAGTGCATATGTAAGATTGTCTTCAGCCAACTCTCTCCTTGGTCTCGCGTACGTTCCTGTTCGCCTGCCCCTACCTGGTCTTCTCACCTGTCTGTGCATTTATCCGTAGCCTGGTGTTGGTGTTAGTGGTCATGCAGTATTGTGCATGTACTAGTATTTACCTCCGTTGTCTGTATCTTCTGTGTACATTTCAGTGTCCTTCATTTCCCCCATGTCATCGTGCTGGTCACAGACTCTTTCCACACCCTCCCTCCGACAGGCTTCCTTTATAGCTCTCCTCACGTGTTTCTGAGCCATCACCAGAACCATGTCTGATGTCCATAGTTCCACCAACAGTCTCCTCGGGGATATCTGGGGTCACCGTGAAGCATATCAACATTCCCCCATACTCTACCCATTACCCAACTGCAAACCACCTTCCCATTATAGTCATCTCTTACAGCACCGGCCGCTTCTCTGTACTGAATTCTTAGTCTTCTCAGAGCTGCTGTGACAGAAATAGCACATGTGTTTGGCTTTAATGCGCAGAAGTTTCTTTTCTTACAGTTTAGGGTGCTAGCAGTCCAAACTAGGGCACCCGCTCTAGAGGAAGGGTCTCTCTGTCCGCTCTGGGGGAGGCCCCTGTGTGTCTTCTATTCCTAGGGTCCTCGGCAATTATGCTGCATGTATCCTCCCCCCTCTTTCAAAATAACATGATGGAAACACCTGCTGTGATGCCTGGCTATCCTTCTAATGATACCTGAACCTTCTCAATTATGTGATAGGAGCTGAAATTTTAAAGGCTTTTCAACTACAAGTGGCCATCTAAAATGCGGGGAAATCATTTCAGAAGAGTTACACCTTTGTGGGTGAAGAGAACTTGACAACATGGAATTGAAAACCATTTCCCCCTGAACATGAGGCTCCTAGGTTAAGCAAGGTTAAAATAAAGTCTGTGTAGAAGAAAAGTCCTCTTAAGTATGATTGTTGAGTTCCAAAAAGAATTATGTTCAAAATGGGGGAATGAGAGAGAGCATTTCGAAACTAAGACCTTGATGTGACTGCAGACCACTGGCTAAGCTTGCCTTAAGGATTCCATTTTGTTCCCCAGTGCACCCTGGCACCTCTGCAAAATTTCCGTTGCACCTTTAACTTGGATACAACCATCTTCTACAGAACAATGTAGTTTTGTCCACCTTTCCTGCTTATTTCAAATTGGTGGTTGGACTTAGCCGATGTTCACAGAAGGTTTTTCAGCATGAACAGAGGTTAGATACATTGGTAATCATGTGACTTAAGGGGTTCATTATACCCAAAGACACTCTGAACTATCTCCCTTCCACCCTTTTTTTCCTTCCACTCTTTCTGCTCTGTGCTTGGATGGACTTGTATAAATATAGTCCAGGAAATTCATGGTCAACACTATGCTGTCACTTGAAACCCTTTTTGCAAAGAAGGTGAACTGCAAAGGGAAGTCCTGCAAATCCTGCCACCTACAACTTTGTAACTAGTATCTGATCAAATATACTGATGACATACCACCCCCAACTGGCAGGTTTACTTGAATACACTTGGTAAAGCCTGAGCAGACCAGCATTGTGAGGGCACCAGGCCAGCCTGGGGGCAGAGAATGGTGAGTGGCATCATCAGGGGCAGGAGACTGGCACCGATTCCCATCTCTAAGGGCCTCAGGTCCACCAGGGCCAAAGGCGCAAGTGCCACATGGTCATGACCTTACCCCCCACCACAGTTACACCGCTCCCAGGCTTTCGCTTGAGGTGCCAGGTTTGGAGGTCCTGCAGGTGCATATTGATGCTTCCTCCCAGGCCAGGGTCCCCTGTCTCTCACGTCAAGGGCATCCCCGAGCTCAGGTTGAGGGGACAGGCTCCCAGGGCATGCAGACCGTGTGTCTGAAGTCCAGGGCCAGTGAAACCACTTGGCCTCCATGCCTTGTGTGCATTGTGTCTGCCCTTGGTGTGGCTGCTTCAGGCACTGGGGCACAGCACGTTTCTTCCCGGAAGCATGAGGCCCAGGAGTTGAGCCCATATGTTCTGTGCTCTCCCATCCAGTCATGATCTCAGATCAGACATGTTCACCCACTGAACTTAAGCACAGCAGCCATCCCACCATTCTTCTGTCACATTGGCCTACTTTGGTGGCTTGCATATTACGGTGATGATGGAAGCTATGTCACTGGTATTACAAATAAGAGCAGGATCACCTATGGTGGACAAGTTTCACCTGAGCTTCCTAAATCAGACTGGGAACAGTGACCTACTTCTGTTGGAGAGAGCTCCAGTACCCTGCACCAGCTGGATAGATGGGTGTGGGATCTTGGGTTCCCAGATAACCACCATTCTCTCTGCTCTGGGCCACTGCTCCCAGCTTATTGAGAAGACCCTGAGAACAGTGCAGCTGCATTGGGTCCAGGGGGTGGAAGGGAAGTGTAGGTGGGAAGTGCTGGCCCTGGTCGATTTGCTCCTCACCTGGCCAGGTGTTTATCTGAGCAATCTGTCTCAGGAATCTTCCTGACTTCCGGCATTTCCCAGGCAGCTGAGGAAGTGAGGGGCTAGTTGTGCCATTCGCCTCACAGTTCTTTAGTCTATACCAGCTCCAGCGCCTCCACCTGGGCTCTGACTTCTTCCTGGAAGCCTCCCTGCATCAGGTGCATAGCTGTCCAAAGACTCTCTTGGAGATCCTCTGGAGAAATAAATGCTTGCTTTTGGTGTGCAACTTGACATGTTTGTCCAAGTGTCCAGTACCAGCCAACTAAGTTCAGTGTGTTTGAGTGGTGTTATTGAGACTGGCTTAAATCTTGAGTTTCTCCAAGTTCTGCTAGAGTGAAATCAGCTAGCCTCCACAACCTGGGCTTAAATACAAAAAATCAAACTCACTTCTGTCGAGTTGAATCCAACTCATAGCGACCCCTCCTTGGGTTTCTGAGATGGTATCACTATGGAAGTAGATTGCCCAATCTTCCTTCTGAGGTGGGTTGGAATCGCAGCCATCTGGTTAGCAGTCAAATGCCGTAAGCACTATACCACCAGAGCTCCACCTGGACTTGTAAAAAACCAAACTCACTGCTGTCATGTTGGATCTGACTCATAGTGACCCCTCCTTGGGTTTCTGAGGCAGTATCACTATGGAAGTAGATGGCCCAACCTTCGGTCTAAGGAGTGGCTGGTGTGTTTGAACTGTCAGCCTTCTGGTTAGCAGTCACATGCCTTAGGCACTATGCCACCAGAGCTCCCACCTGGACTTAGGTAGGTGTGAAATCAGGGACTCCAAGCTCACAGCCATCTTGCTGGCCTTGGGCCACAGCTCCCTACACCTCCTCTTCAGGTTCCATTGAAGCCCAGTCTCTTTTCTGATATACCCCTTTCCAAAGAAGTGTTCAGGTATTTTTCTTCAATATCCCTAATTCTGCCTTCCATTGATTCAATTCTGCTCCTTTGCCCATTCAATGGCTCATCTATTTCTGAAAATTTAGTATCCATCTTCTGGATTTCTGTCTGTAGGTTTTGTATCATTTCTAATTTTTCATTGATTTTGTCATTTTGTTCTTGTATTGTCTTTCAAAATTGTTCTAGGGTTTTCTCCATGTTTTCCTTGATCTTTCTCTTAATTCAATGAAGATTTGTTGTTGTTGTTATGTGCCATCTAGTCGGCCCCGACTCATAGCGACCCCTCCTTGGGTTTCCGAGGCAGTATCACTACGGAAGTAGGATTGCCCAACCTTCCTAAATATAATTCTTTTGAATTCCTTATCGGGGAGTTCCAATGCTGTGTCTTCCTCAGGGATGTGTTTTGGATCTGTATCCTGGTCTCTTGTTTCTCCTGCTTTTTCTTGCTCCTTTGTGTGGACTGTGATGCTCTGTTGTCTCTGCAACATTGTAACATTTTTGTGTTTATATTTAATTGGTGATTGTATGTTGGGGTGACTTACCCACGATTTTTGTTTTCTTTGTTTTGTTTATATGTTATGTATGCAAGCATTCTCTACTTAACAGCACTTATACACTCACCACCTGTCAGCCTCTCATACATCCCTGTAAACTTTGGCAAACAGAACCCATTCTTAGGTCCCTGGAGTCTGAATGAGAATGCGATCACTTTAAAATGCAAAACGGTTGCCACTTATAAAGATTCAAAATGGCTGCACCCTCCATCATTTTAAATATCCAAAATGGCCACCACTTGTAAACTTTCAAAATGGCTGCACCTTCAGTGACTTTAAATATCCAAAATGGCTGCCATGTGTAAACAATCAAAATGGCTGCATGCTCCAGACAGCAGAAAGTCCACAGCTCAGGTTGTCTCCCTCCTTGCTGTTTCCATCTTAATCAGAGGCTACCAGCACCTTTGTCCCTGCAGCCCTTGGTGACCAGGGCTGATCTTTAGGTCAATTATCAGGTCCCAACACCACTTGGAAATATTCAGGCTGTTGGTCCCATCAGAGTAGCTGATAGTCCGCAGCTCTGACTGTCTCTATACTCACTGTTTTCATTCAGGTTTTTCCATTCGTTGGTGCCTAATCCACTTCTGTATAGTTCCTTTCAAAGCTCAGGGCTCCAGGATTATCTTCTGTATCTCTGTCAATTGGCTTCTCTTTTCTTTGTTGAAGAGGGTCTGTGTTGCTTGCCTGCCTTTTCCTCCATCGTACTGGAAACCAATGCTGTAGTTTTCTTATCTTATGAAACTCAAGATGTAATCAAGCCTAGTGAGTTTTGTTTGTATGCTTGTTAGTTGTGTCATGTTAGGAGTAAGTAATTTTTAAACTTGTCTTTGTTTAGTCACCATATATGGTGTAAGGAGATGAGTGTAAGTAGCAAGTTCCCAAAGGGAGGAGTGTGATGGTTAAAGTTGTGTGTGACCTTGACTGGGCCATGATTCTTAGGAGTTTGGCAGTTATGTAATCATGTGATCACCCCTTGATGCGATCTGAAATAATGCAGTCATCTGGATGATGGGATCTGACATAACACAATCACCCTGATGATGAAATCGGCTGAGCAGCCAGTCAATTGAAGGGGAGTTTCTGTGGATGGGGCTTGTGTCCAGTATATAAATGGATGTTCCAGCAAGGCTCTCTTCACTCTGGGTCCTGGATCCTACTGGCCATCACCTGCCCTCCAGTTTTGGACTTGAGCCCCAGATGCACCATTGTCCACAGACCTTGGGATCAGTCAATCACTGCTGCCTGTGAGCGAGAGGCCTGCCACCACTGGACATGCCCATCTTGGATTAATTGGCTTCTGGAGCCCCATGACTCATTAGACGCCTCCACGTGGTACCTGAACAAGGCCTTGGAACTTGCCAGCCTCTCTGAG